ATGCTGTGTGCTGTCTGGTCTGGACTTGGAGAACAAGTGCTAATTCACTAATTTCTTTTCCTCCTATTCTTAAAACTTAAATCTTTACCTTTATTCTCTTATTTACTTAAAACTTAGTTAAGCAGCGTGCCAGTAATTACAACACCTGGAACTTACTGTTTATGAGAACTCTGAGGTGTAATTCATATGTCGAAAATATAACTTGTGTTCATTTATTCATATTTTTAATAAATGTTTGTATGTTTAATCCTGTTCATATATCTAAAAATAAATTACTTTATTTTGAAATACGTTCAGGTCACAAGTTTTCAGTTCTCATTCATGATCAGAGTTGGTATCTTGTCATCTGTCTGGGATTTCATAATGCAAAGATCTTGAGGAATTATTTTGTGAGATTAGGCTGGTCCTGGTTTCATAGGGTAGTTCTTACAACCCTTTGTTGTCAATGACTGTCTGAAGTCTTGAACTCATGGACATCACCAGACGCTGTGTTTCCTCATTTTTAATGCTCTGCCAGGCCTTCACTGCAGCGGTTTTCGGTTGCTGTTCGTTTGTGGGCCTTTCTGTCTGAAGTCTTTAACAAGTAAAATGCTCAATTGGGTTGAGATCAGGTGACTGACATGGCCATTCAAGAATATTCCACTTCTTTGCTTTAATAAACTCCTGGGTTGCTTTGGCTTTATGTTTTGGGTCATTGTCCATCTGTAGTATGAAACGACGACCAGTCAGTTTGGCTGCATTTGGCTGGATCTGAGCAAACAGTATGGCTCTGAATACCTCAGAATTCAGTGGGCTGTGTCTGTCCTGTGTCACATCATGAATAAACACTAAGACCCAGTGCCACTGGCAGCCATGCATGCCCAATCCATCACACTGCTCTGCTGTGTTTTACAGATGATGTGGTATGCTTTGGATCATGAGCTGTATCACACCTTCACCATAATTTTCTCTTTCCATCATTCTGGTAGAGGTTAATCCTGGTTTCATCTGTCCAAAGAATGTTCTTCCAGAACTGTGCTGCATTTTTAGATGTTTTTTTTTAGCTAGCCTTTTTATTCTTAATGATTATGAGTGTCTTGCACCTTGCAGTGAGCCCTCTGTATTTACTTACATACTGTCTTCTCTTTATGGTAGATTTGGATATTGATACTTCTACCTCCTGGAGAGTGTTGTTCACTTGGTTGGCTGTTGTGAAGGGGTTTCTCTTCACCATGGAGATTATTCTGTGATCATCCACCACTGTTGTCTTCTGTAGGCACCCAGGTCTTTTTGCATTGATGGGTTCCCCAGTGCTTTCTTTCTTTCTCGGGATGTACCAAACTGTAGATTTTGCCACTCCTAGTATTGTAACAATTTCTCAGATAGAGTTTTTCTGTTTTTGCAGCTTAAGGATGGCTTGTTTCACCTGCATGGAGAGCTCCTTTGACCACATGGTTTCTTCACTGCAAAACCTTCCAAATGCAAGCACCACACCTCAAATAAACTCCAGGCCTTTTATCTGGTTAATTGAGAATGACACAATAAAGGGATTTCCCACACCTGTCCATGAAATAGCCTTGGAGTCAATTGTCCAATTAGTTTTGGTCCCTTTAAAATCAGGGTGGCGCATGTTAAGGAGCTGAAACTCCTAAACCCTTCATCCAATTTTAATGTGGATACCCTCAAATTAAAGCTGAATGCCTGGACTTTATGTCAATGTACATTATATAACTATAACTTAATATGTTTCAATTGTAAGATTCACACCTACACCTCTTATAGCAATGTTATTAGGAAAGTAATTTAGCAAGGATCATTTTATTTTTGGTAAAATATTCTTGCCGTGCAAAGTGAATAGACATAAAAGTGACTCTTAGAGAATTTTGATTCAATGCATAAATAAATGTGATAGTTTATTTTACATAATAAACAAAATCACTGCAGTACACTTAATTGTGAGCAATCAATTTCCTGTAAAAGTTTGGAACCAACAATAACTAGCATGCTTCGAGCTTCGTTAATTGTCAATCAAGCACTTAGAACACAAATGTCAAGCTTTAGATGTTGAATACCAGACATTTGAGGCAAATAACTTAAGTTTGGCAAGGTATGTTTAAGAAAAGGAGGAAAAATAAGATATTAGTTCGTTTTAACTTAAATAAATGTGGGTTTAACCAGAGAGGCAAGGCGTTTCTCTACCCAGCTTCAGCCAGATAGTGATGCTCATGTAACAGCCAGCTTTACCTTTTAAAGACGAGGTCAGTCACCCATCCAGGTATGCAGGGTCTCTCAGTTAGTTGGAAAATCCGTTCGGACCGTCCACTCAGCTGAACCCTCTAGGCGTGTACTCCAGCACCTGCGTACATCTGCATCAAGCCGTAGGAAGAAAGGTGAAGCCAAACTGGATCCCGATTTCAAAATAAGATTCTTCTGACAGGAAGATTTTAAAACAAGTTGCTGTGAGCGTTAAGCTCGTATTTGGCTCACATCCAGGAGTTGATGTGGTCCAACCGAGAGATACGTCCTTTGGCTCATGGATGAATTTCTCTGCCAAAACGCTAGTTGACCCAGAGGAGAACAGCTAACGGAAACTTGTGTCCGTCTCCTTCCGACTCTGTCTGTCGGGTCGACCAACTGTCCGGGCAGAAACTGTTGCTAAAGAAGCTTAGTTTCCTTAGTTCCCCCTCTCAGAAGGTTAGATTAGGAAAGGAAGGTATCAAGGAAAATGTTAGTTCAGAGACTTGCCATCACCTCCTGAAGCTAAACATAGATCATTGCTTTTGTGTAGTTCAGAAACAAAACATAACATGACATGTTTGTTATTATCTGATGATAACTTTTTAAAAACTGTTAGGGTTCTGTTTGTGTTGTGTTGGTGTTGTTACACTTACCTTCCAGAGTCAGAGTGGCAAGGGCGGAGTCTTTCATCACCCACCTGTGTGATCCTGCTGATGAGGGCTGCTGGTATTTAAGCTCCTGGATGTGGCTAAGTCCTCGCCGGATTATTCAGTAACCTTTGTACTGAATGAGACAGACTTTTATTTCTCTCTCGTGAAACATTTAATTAATGGTTTATCACTCGTGTGTTTCTCCAATCATCCAAGTCATTCCTGGAACTTACCTCCTGGGTTGAAGCTAAGGATCCCAGTGCACTAAGTCCACAGAAAGCTACCTCATCTGAAATCCTCACTACCCAATCCTGCCACTCTCTCGTTGGACCTGCAAATACAAACAAACTTTGCAACCCAACACTCACCTCTTGGATTGTGTCTGCCTCCTCCTCCTCCAAACCTGCTCATCTCCCGTGGACCTGTAAGCAAAGAATTATCATTGTTCTTCAACTAAACTCATCTATTCATCTGTGGAAATTTTGTTAATTATATCTCCTTCCCTTTCAGGATTACTTCCACCCCACACTGTAAACTAGATACCTCATAGCGGAAACATAAAGACCCCAGCACACAGAAATGCACTGGAACTCAGAAGACTTTATTCCTAATAAATGTCATGCTACTAGGTGCATCCTAAAATTGTAGTGGTTTGGGTTGGGGGACTTTTAT